TCTCACGCCGCTGAGTCGGCCGGTTGCGGTGTCCCTGGCTGACCCCTCTGGGGGGCCTGTCCTGTCTCGCTTCTCCACGGTACTTCCGTGTCCGGCGGCCCCCTCTGGCACCCTGTCTGGTCTCTACCTCCCCTCGTTCTCGACAAACCTGGTGAGTGGTGCTGACCTACAGGATGCGGGTGTCCACCAGTTCACTCCTGCTCGTCAGCGGGTGACCCACTGCACGGAGGCTAGCACGGGACGCCACCTGGCTACGTTTACACGTCGGCCAGGGTCGAGCCTGTACACACTGACCACTGCTTCTCCTCCAGGTACTGAGTCTGGTACGGTCCCTTCGTCTAGTCAGGTGTTTGCAGCAGCGTCCAGGTCTGGTCCTGAGTCTTCCCCCTGTTCGTGTCGTCGTCTGTCTCACGAGACCCTCCTCTGGCACCACCGCCTTGGCCACCCCTCTCTGCTTCGGCTCAGAGGCATGGCCTCCCGTCTTCTTGTGTCTGGTCTCCCCCGGACCCTACCTCCCCTTCCTCAGGGCCCTGGCCCTGCCTGTGTCCCCTGTGTCGAGGGGCGCCAGCGTGCTGCCCCTCACTCCTCCCCGTTTCCTCCGACAGAGGCCCCACTGAAGACACTTCACATGGACGTGTGGGGCCCGGCCCGCGTCCTTGGACAGGGTCAGGAGCGCTACTTCCTGCTCGTTGTTGACGACTACTCGCGTTACACCACAGTCTTCCCCTTGCGCAGCAAGGGTGAGGTTACTGAGGTGCTGATCGACTGGATCCGCGCAGCTCGTCTTCAGCTCAGGCAGAGCTTTGGCTCCGACTTTCCTGTGTTGCGTCTGCACTCTGACAGAGGCGGAGAGTTCTCCTCTGGCCTTCTTCGTGCCTACTGTCGAGCGCGAGGCATCCGCCAGTCCTTCACGCTTCCGAACTCCCCACAGCAAAATGGGATTGCTGAGCGCCGCATTGGCATGGTCATGGACGTTGCCCGTACGTCCATGATGCATGCGGCTGCCCCCCATTTTCTGTGGCCGTTTGTGGACAGGTACGCAGCGCATTAGATCAACCTACACCCCAGGGTCTCCAGGCCGGAGACCTCCCCAGCCCTGCTGTGGACGGGGAAGGTTGGCGATGCGTCGGCGTTCCGGGTCTGGGGATCTCGGGCGTTTGTCCGCGACTTGTCTGCGGACAAGCTGTCCCCTCGCGCTGCTCCCTGCGTCTTCCTGGGGTTCCCCCCCGACGCCCCTGGGTGGCAGTTCTACCACCCCACCTCTCGACGTGTTCTGTCCTCCCAGGACGTCACGTTCGACGAGTCGGTACCCTACTACCGCCTCTTCCCCTACCGCACTCCGTCCCTCCCCCGCCCCCGCTTTTCCTGGTACCAGGTCCCCCCCCGGTAGACCCCCTCCCCCCTCAGGGTCCTGCCCCGTCAGGTGTGTCCCAGGTAGACGCGGTCGAGCCTGTCGAGGTCACTGGTGACTCTGGTGCTGCTGCGGGAGCTGAGCCTGGGGGTGCAGAGTCTGGGGGTGCTGAGCCTGGGGGTGCGGAGTCTGGGGGTGCTGAGCCTGGGGGTGCGGAGTCTGGGGGTGCGGAGTCTGGGGGTGCTGAGTCTGGGGGTGCTGAGCCTGGGGGTGCTGAGCCTGGGGGTGCTGAGCCTGGAGGTGCTGTGCGTGGGGGTGCTGTGCCTGGGACTGCTGTGCCTGGGGGTGCTGAGCCTGGGGGTGCTTCGTCTCGCCGGGAGCCACTCTCCCCACAGGAGCTGCGTGAGTGGTTTGCCAGGCGCTGGAGGCGTGCTGCTAGTTCTGGTGGTTCTTCGGCTGCAGAGGGCACTGCTGCCGTGCGTCCTGGCGGTGCTCGTCCTGTGGGTGCTGGAGCTGTTGGGTCTGCGAGTTCTCCTGGAGCTGGTGCTGCTGAGGGTGTTGGCGCTGAGCCTGCTGCTGGCGGTCCGACTGACAGTGCTCCTGGTGCTGCTGCTGGAGGTTCTGGAGCTTCTGGTGGTGCTGCTGGAGGTGCTACTGGAGTGGGTGCTCCTGCCGAGAGTGCTGGTGCTGTTCCTGCTGTTTCTGGAGTCGCCGCGCGGCCCCGACCGTACTTCGTTCCGCTCCTGCAGCAGGTTCTTGGTCTTCCACTTTCTCCTCCTCCCTTAGAGGGTCCGCAGCCTGTCCGGTCACAGCCACAGCTACAGCCTGCCTCCCCTTTGCCTGCTCCTTCTCCCTACGCTGGTCCGACTGGAGGTCTTACTGAGCGTCGTGAGCCTGCGTCTCGTCCTGCGTCGCCTGTTCGTCCAGAGCGCACTAGTGGTCGCGGTTCGCGTCAGCGTCCTCCTCCTGTCCCTGGCACGCACCGGATGTCTCTGCGTCCGTCCACTGCTCCTCTGCGTGCCCCTTTGCCTTCTCCTCCTGCTTCCTCTCTTCCTGCTCTTGCCGACCCGGAGTCGGACTCTCTTCGTGCTGCCAGTCCTACTGTCACGCGTCTCCTTGCTACTGTTGTCACTGACCCTTCCTTCGAGTCGTCTGCTGCGTCTGCCCTTGTCACTGAGCTTGTCGACTTTGTTGCGCGCTGTCGTCTAGACTACGCTGCCAGTCTTGTCGCTGAGTCTGAGTCTGCCTGTCCTCCGTCCGTCGGGGGTGAGTGTGCCCTCGGCACGGACGTCCTTGAGGACAGGCAGGAGGAGTTCCAGTGTCTGGCCGCCGCTTCACCCCATCTCGCGTCTGTACTGCTAGCCCCTGAGGGAGACCCGGATGCACCAGACATCCCGACTCCGCGCTCTTACGCGGAGGCGATAGAGGGTCCCTACTCCTCTCAGTGGCAGGCAGCTATGGACGCAGAGATGGCTTCCTCGAAGTCCACAGGCACCTACGTCGACGCTGTCCCCCCTCCTGGGGCGAACATCGTCAGTGGCATGTGGATTTTCAGGGTGAAGCGGCCGCCGGGTTCTCCGCCTGTCTTCAAGGCGCGTTACGTGGCTCGTGGCTTCAGTCAGCGGCAGGGGGTTGACTACTTTCAGACCTTCTCCCCCACCCCGAAGATGACCACTCTTCGGGTTCTGCTGCACGTTGCTGCTCACCGTGACTACGAGCTGCACTCTCTCGACTTCAGCACAGCTTTCTTGCAGGGCAGTCTGCACGAGGAGATCTGGCTGCGCCGCCCACCTGGCTTCACTGGGTCTTTCCCTCCTGGTACCCAGTGGAGTCTCCGGCGTCCAGTCTACGGTCTCCGCCAGGCGCCACGTGAGTGGCACGACACACTGAGGACTACGCTCGCGGCACTTGGGTTTGCTCCGTCTACTGCCGACCCGTCGCTGTTTCTGCGCACCGACACCTCTCTGCCGCCGTTCTACATCCTCGTGTACGTCGACGACTTGGTCTTTGCCACAGCTGACACTGCTGGACTCGCCTACGTGAAGTCCGAGCTGCAGAAGAGACACACGTGCACTGACCTGGGTGAACTGCGCAGCTACCTTGGCTTGCAGATCACCCGGGACAGAGCACGCCGCACCATTACCCTGACTCAGTCACACATGGTGCAGCAGGTCCTTCAGCGCTTCGGCTTCACGTACTCCTCGCCTCAGGCCACTCCTCTGCCTACTCGCCACTCGCTCTCAGCTCTGCCTTCGGATGAGTCCGTAGAGTCGAGTGGCCCGTATGCAGAGCTTGTTGGCTGCCTCATGTACCTGATGACCTGCACTCGACCTGACCTTGCATACCCTCTTAGCATTCTCGCACGCTATGTTGCTCGTGGGAGACACCGACCAGAGCACATGGCTGCAGCGAAGAGGGTGTTGCGCTACTTGTGCAGTACGTCAGGCATGGGGCTAGTGCTTGGAGGGCGCAGTCCAGTGGTCCTCACTGGGCACGCAGACGCTTCTTGGGCTGACGACCAGGCTACGCAGCGGTCGTCACAGGGTTACACCTTCAGCCTTGGTTCCGGCTCTGTTTCGTGGCGGGCTACCCGCTCGTCTTCTGTTCTCGGCTCCAGTTGTGAGGCTGAGATCTACGCTGGGGCTATGGCTGCACAGGAGTTACGTTGGCTCACCTACCTGCTGACCGACCTTGGAGAGCAGCCTCGTTCTCCTCCAGTCCTGTACGTAGACAACAAGGCCATGCTGGCCTTGTGTCGAGAGCAGAGACTGGAGCACAGGACAAAGCACATTGCTCTCCGCTACTTTCTTGCTCGTGAGCTACAGCAGCGTGGACAGTTGCGACTTGCGTACGTGGCCTCTGAGGCCAACACTGCTGATGTGTTCACCAAGGCACTTGCGCCTTGTGATCATCAGCGTTGCTGCACGCAGCTGGGTCTTGTGTCTGTCTTGCCTCACTTGCTCACTTCTTGACCTTCCTTGTACCGTCACATATATATAGTCTTGCTCTTGCTTGCTTGACTCTTGTATATCTCTATATATATGATCTTGCATGTGAACTGGCCTTGTGGCCCTTGAACTTGTGCTCGGAATGTGTGGTGACTTTGTGATCCACCCTGAGCTTTGCTTTGCTTTGCTTGACTGGTCTTGTGACCCCTTGTTCTCCCCCACTTTGCCTATGGGGGTGTGTCAGAACATTATAGCTTACTTATTTGTGTAGGCTATAGTGGGGTATCCCATAGGGGGTACAACCCAGCTAGGGTTTCCTATTTGTACTCACTTCGTTCATAGTTCACACATTCTCTCGTTCACTTCTTCACAACAGGCAGTTACAGATATATTCTGACACTCCCCCATAACTGCCTGCAGCAGAAGCTAATGCAGAGACACCCCCTGAAGGGGTACACCAAGCGCAGCAGAAGGAGAGGGCAAGTGAGGAGGAGGGACTATATGAGGAGAGGCTGCTGGCAGGTGAAGCTGCTGGCTCCAAGGCAGCTGCTTCCTGGAACCTTCCTCAGTCCTCCAACTCCCCCTTCCACACTCCTTGACAACCCTAGCACCTCTCCCCCAGCTCCCCCACACCCTCACACCCACCCCCCCCCAGCGGCAGCTGCAGCAGTGGGAGAGAAAGGAGGAGGAGGGGAAGGGGATCACACACACCCATCACCCCCATACCCGCCACCCCCATAGCCTCCGTTCCACGGCTGCACGCGCAGCAAGGAGACGAAGAAGGGGGGGGGGGGGGGGGGGGGGGGGGGGGGGGGGCAGGGGCGTCAGAGCAGAACAGAGCGCACAAGGGCGCAGGCAGAGCAGAGCGCACAAGGGCGCGGGCAGCAGCAGGGCGCACGAGGGCGCGGGCAGCAGTAGAGCGCACGAGGGCGCACGCAGAGCAGAGCGCACAAGGGCGCGGGCAGCAGCAGGGCGCACGAGGGCGCGGGCAGCAGCAGAGCGCACGAGGGCGCAGGCAGAGCAGAGCGCACAAGGGCGCGGGCAGCAGCAGGGTGCACGAGGGCGCGGGCGGCAGCAGAGCGCACGAGGGCGCAGGCAGAGCAGAGCGCACAAGGGCGCGGGCAGCAGCGGGCGGCAACGGGCAGTGCAGGCACGGGCAGCAACAGGCGGCAACGGGCAGCACAGGCACGGGCAGCAACGGGCGGCAACGGGCAGCACAGGCACGGGCAGCAACGGGCGGCAACAGGCAGCACATGCACGGGCAGCAACGGGCAGCACAGGCACGGGCAGCAACGGGCGGCAACGGGCAGCACAGGCACGGGCAGCAACAGGCAGCACAGGCACGGGCAACAATAGGCAGCACAGGCACAGGCAGCAACAGGCAGCAACGGGCAGCACAGGCACGGGCAGCAACAGGCGGCAACGGGCAGCACAGGCACGGGCAGCAACGGGCGGCAACAGGCAGCACAGGCACGGGCAGCAACGGGCGGCAACGGGCAGCGCAGGCATGGGCAGCAACAGGCGGCAACGGGCAGCACAGGCACGGGCAGCAACGGGTGGCAACGGGCAGCACAGGCACGGGCAGCAACGGGCGGCAACAGGCAGCACAGGCACGGGCAGCAACGGGCAGCACAGGCACGGGCAGCAACGGGCGGCAACGCGCAGCACAGGCACGGGCAGCAACGGGCGGCAACAGGCAGCACAGGCACGGGCAGCAACAGGCAGCAACAGGCAGAACAGGCACGGGCAGCAACGGGCGGCAACAGGCAGCACATGCACAGGCAGCAACAAGCAGTACAGGCACGGGCAGCAACGGGCGGCAACAGGCAGCACAAGCACGGGCAGCAACGGGCGGCAACAGGCAGCACAGGCACGGGCAGCAACAGGCAGCAACAGGCAGCAACAGGTAGCAAAGAAGGTGCACCACCAAACAAAGTTTATAATAACTACACTAACTATAGCTACAGGCAGTTACAGATATATTCTGACACTTCCCGAATGTCGACCGCGTACACGTCAGCTCTTGCCGCTATGGCGCGTTTCATCATGATCGCGTTGACACGCACCGACGACGACTCAGGCGAGCCCCAGCGAGGTAAGGCGATGTTGTTACCGTTCACTCGTACGGTGCAGTCGCCCGTCGTCCAGTCGATTCGCGGATTGTGTCGTCGCAGCCAATCACGCCCGAGTAAGATATCGGTTCCGTCGAGGGTCGTTGCGAGCATTTCCTGGCTAAACGTGAAGTTACCCCCACATCGAATCCGAACCCGGTCTACACGTTCCCGTATCGCTAGCGGCGTGCCGTCTACCAGTCTTGCGTCGATTTCAGGTAAACATCTGTCCAGTGGCAGTCACAGTTTTTGTGCTGTAGCAGTGTTGATGAGGCTGTGGCTGGCTCCCCCGTCTACGAAGATTTTTACTAAGTCCGTCCCAATTTCCCACTAAGCAGTATGGGGCTGTCTACCGTAGTCCCCTCCTTATTCGGTCGGGTGTGGTCGATTGCGTGAACCGGCACAATCACTCGATGAGGGTCGGTTGGGTCGGGCGAGCGGCGTGACCTGTCAGTAGAGGGCCTGTCTGCTACTGACTCCTAGCGTTTCCCTGCTCAGCTTCCCCCTTTCCCTTAGCGTTTTCCGGGCATTCGTTCTTGCGATGTCCCGGCCGATTGCACGCAAAGCAGCGCCCTTTGAACGGTGCGGCAGCGGCATTTGTGGCGATAGCACGTATCGTGGCGCCCTCGTTCGTCCCACGAGGCCGATGTCCCCAATGGCTGCTTCCGTAGGACCCCGGTCTCGGTCGGCGGAAGAAATCAAGTTTCTCCGTCATAGCGAGAATTTCTTGAAAGTCGGTGACGCCGCGAAGCTGGATTTCCTGAGCGATGTCCTGCTTCAGGACGCCGATGTAGCGGTCGATGCGCTCGCTCTCATGCATATATCACGCTGGTCAGGCGTGGTTGTTCACGATGAACGTGTTTTTCGACGCCAACTACGTCTCGAAGGATACGGCGAAAATCCGCTACGCCGTGTCGTTGCTGCGAAGACCTGCCATGGATTGGTGGCGCGTCATCGTCACGAAGCCGTTAGACTACGCGACTCTACCGACACGGGAAGGACAAACCTGACCCTGGGCGCAGGGCTGATTTTATCAGGGTAATTACCCTGATTCCAGGGTGATTTCAGACTTGTCACTTTCTGGACCCTGAGAAATCAGGTTTTTCACATTTTGGTCCCTGATCCATTCAGAGTATTGCTTTAGCGGACCCTGAAATTTTGTGTACACTCTCAGTGTAGGGTTTTCACGGACCCTGTCAATACAGAGTACGAGGCCTGTGTACCCTGAATGCGATGTTATCGGGGCGAAGTTTCTCACAAATTTCCTCATAATAACCCCTTCGCATTGATTTCGGTGCCCCCCACGTGCGTAATCCTCCCCCCCCCCCCCCCGCTCGCTTTATCGAGACGAAGTTTCTTCAAAGTTTCGTTCCCATACACCCACCATCTAGATCGGGCGAATCTGTAATGTCAGATTTTAGGTTGTTGTTATTGGTCGAAATAGATGTGCTCTAACACAGTGCCAGTCACATCGCCACAGTGCCAGTCACTTCTGTCCTCGGTAAAGAAAGAGCGCGTTACTACGACCCTGATTTTCAATTCTCGACCCTGAACATTCAGAGTTCGCTACTTCTCAACCCTGAGCAATCAGGGTGCTGTTTTTCTGGAAAATGTGCCTTCAGGGTTTTTTTTTTTTTTTTGAAGGTTGAAATCAGGGTACCTAAATTTGGAAAGTCAGCCCTGCCTGGGCGCCGTCGTATTTCGTGGAGGTGCCCCAGTATCGCACGTGGGACGCGTGGTGCGCAGGTCTGCACGCTCGTTTCGAGCCAATTGCGGCTTCGATCGCGGAGCGACAGAGGCTCCGCACTTGGCGCCAACTCGGTTCCGTCCAAGACTACACGAGCGGATCGAAGCATGGCGGACGCTGCGGCTTCAGTGGCATCGGTGACAGCAGTGCCGAACCGTCGGTTGGTGCCGAAATTGTGACGCATGGCTGGCTTCGGGCCGCATTCGTCGCTTCGGGGTGTGTCATGCCGTGGTCGTCGTCTCCGTCGGGGCGGACGACGCCATCACTGGCCGCGCTCACGGGTTGCCCAACGCTTTCGTGTTGTGATGCCTATGGTGCAGGCTGTTCCGGAGTGCCAGGTGCTTGAGATTGTGCCTGTTGTGCTCGTGTGAGGTCATTTTGCAAGGACGAGCGCTCTGCCGTCAGCGTCGCGATTTCCTCGGCGCTCTCGCGGATTTGCCGCAGCATATCTTTCAAGTGCTCCTGCGTGAGCGTCGTGATATCAATGTGCTTGGCCATTTCGAAGGGTGTCGGCTCGTCTTAGTCTAGGCGCAGTCGTGGCTGCACGCGTTTACGAGAGAACGCGAGGACAGCGGCTCCTAGGTGCTAAGGTGTGTGAGTCCCTTCAAGTGAAAAAAACAAAAGTTGATTTCCTGGGGTGCGGAGATGCGCGGTCCGAAAGAAAGGGGCTCTGAATACCAAGTGTTACGGGTGCAATGAATTGAAGTAGCGAGAATTGCACTAAGGTGTCAAACGAGTACAAAGCTGTGAGCGAAGGCATGAGCGAACATTTATACACGAAACATTCAAACGGTAACGCGGTGCGTGCGAGCTAGCTAGTGCTACGCTGGCAGCAAGGCTCGGGCTAGTCCCGAAGCGTAGGCCGACACGGCCGGGCCAGCAGTGCGAGGTTTGGCAAAACAGTGCGCACGAAGTTGGCGAAGTCCCGTTAGAAGTAACAGGCGAACAACGGCTGTTGCTTTACGCGATGTAGTCGGGCTCCGTAAGGAATGTCGAGAAAATTACTTAGAGGAAGACACCGATGACTATTTATAAGCAATTTGGAATGGGATGTGTTGTGTTGCTGGTGTACGGTACTGGGCATGGCTGGACGCTCTTACTGGTAGTTCGCGTTGCGTTTCTAGCCTGAAACTAAAGTTGAACCCAACCTCCCGAGAGCTCGGGTGTTTCGAGAGATGCGCCGTTTCCCCGCATTCGAGCTTTCCGTTTCCGCCTCACCTGCCAACAGCTTCAGGCCTCTTTAGGCATTTCCGAGATAGAGCATAGTGCTTAGGTCGTCAGTGGCAAGCCTCTTTCGGCAGGAGCTTACATTTCGATAGTAAGCGTGATTAAGTCTCCTTACAACGATTCCAGCAATGGCAAGCATAAGTTAGAAGGTACCGCCATATTCGGGTGCTTGATCCAGCCGCCAAGTTGTGTTCGTTTATTATATCAATTTATAGCGGGGATATCGCGGTAGAGTCTACAGCAGGTGACGCCAGTGTGATTCAAGTGGGGAGCGCGATGGGGAAGCGGAAGCGGAAGCGAATGGGGAGAGGGATTTACTAAGGCGGAGAGATGGCGGGCGGTGGAGAGTTTCGCTGGAAGATCTGGCTGAGGAGTTGGGGAGGGGACGTGTTTAACAGCAGCGAGGCAGTACTGCGGGTTCGTAGCAGTGGAATGACGAGCAGAGAGACGGACGTCCCTTTGAAAGTAGGAGCTTATAACGGAACGAGCAATATTGAGTACGGGGGCGGACTGGGGATTGTAACGGGGGAAAGAGCATTGTGTGGAAAAGGGAGGGGATTCTGCCAGCAGTAGGCGCAGAGAAGGCCGTGCCACGTGGCATGGTGATATTGGTTCGTCTTTCAAAAACCTGTTTTGCAGCTAGGCATGGGTATGGCCACTAATCTAGGAGGTAGGTACACAGAATATGGCATATAGTGTCATAACAAGGGTTGAAGCGTACTGCTGCTGCAGCTTAACAATCCACAATTCCTCTCTCTGCCCCTTCGTTTTGCCAACTCCCGTCTGCCCCTCCCCACTTTCCCCCCTCCTTGTTTCTCCCACATGCCCCTTCTCCTTTCCTCTTCCCCCTGTTCCCCTTTTGCCCCACCTTTGCCCCTTCCCCTGCCCTTTTCCCTTTTCACCTTCCCCCTTGCCCCGCCTCCCTGTCCCTCAACACGCCCCCCCCCCCTCCCTCCCCGCCTCCTCTTGCTCCTCCCCTTGCCCCCCTCTTGCTTTTTCCCGTGACCCTCCCCCCTTGCTCCGTCCCCCTGCCCCTCAATCTGCGCCCCTGCGCTCTGTTCCTCCCCCTCGGCACTGCCTCTGAACCCTCTGTCCGCGTTAGGAGCGTCCCCTTTACAGATAGTTCCTCTCGTCCACATACGGCGTTGTGCAACTCGTTACCGGGCCATTCTTCATGTCACGGTGAGAGAAGGGAGACGGGTGGGAGGGGGGAGAGAGGGGGGGAAGGCGAGGGGCGGGGGAGGGGGAGGAGAGGGGGAGGGGGAGGAGAGGGGAGGTGGAGGAGAGGGGGAGGGGGAGGATGACTTCCGTGAATGTCTGGATGGGTGGGGGGTGTGGGGGAGTTGCCTGCTGCTCTAAGTGACTCAGTTTCCCCTGTGCTCGTATCTAGAGTAGAACACCAGTATAATGGTGAGAGAAACATGACGCACTGGCTGACGAGCAAGAAGAGGTTTCCATCTCTCGTTGCTGTGCGTCTGCCTCACTCTCGATGCACACGCAAATGAGCTATTCCCTTGTTTCCCTTGGCAAAATGGAATCTGCGCTACTTATGTTCGTGCATGTCGATTCTGACATTGTTTCACTTAGGATGGGCATGGGCATGGGCACAGGCATGGGCATAGGCATGCATGGGCATGGGTAGGGCCATGGGCACGGGCAGATGCACAGCCATGCCAAAAACCACTGGGCAGGGGCATCTCCTCATCTCCTCATCTTCTCATCTCCTCCTGTCCTCATCTCCTCCTCTCCTCATCTCCTCCTCTCCTCATCTCCTCCTCTCCTCATCTCCTCATTTCCCCATCTCCACCTCTCCTCATCTCCTCATTTCCCCATCTCCTCATCTCCTCCTCTCATCATCTCCTCATCTCCTCATCTCCTCCTCTCCTCATCTCCTCATTTCCTCATTTCCACATCTCCTCATTTTCCCATCTCCTCATCTCCTCCCCCCCCCCATCTCCTCCTCTCCTCATCTCTCCATCTTCTCCTTTCCCGTGTGCTACTGGGAATCACCAAGCACAGCATGAATGAAGTCAAGGCGTATGTGGCTGGTCACACCACAACCACACTATGTTGCACCTGACGCGTCCAGTGTCCATGACGCTAGCGTCCAGACGCTAGACGCTCGGGTGCGATTGTGGTGGACGCTCACTTGACGCTCGTCCGGGCAGGGGAGCATTTTTTCAACGGGCAGGTGGAGAAGAACCAGCGGTAGTAAAAGCAAAGCAGGGGTTAAGACGAATAACATGACATGTTTACCAAAATCTCCAGAAACATCACAATATCCCCAACATTCGCACACGAGTCAATTCCCAAGGTTCACACATGCATAAGTTAGGGGGCTGTGGGCACATATTTGTCATCAAGCACACGGTCGTTGTTCGAGGTGGGCAGGTGGGGCTTGGAGCAGGGCAGGTGGGGCTTGGAGCAGGGCAGGTGGGGCGCCTATTTGCAGGGGTGAGGGTCAGTGAGGCGGTTGGAACAGCTAGTCACCCTGTCATGGAGTAGTGATGAAGGCGTATGAGGTAGGTACGATCCCACCGTGCCCGCCAACACAGCCGTGAAGAAGGACAGGTGAGGAAACTGTTGAAATGTCTTCAACTGTGAGCTGGGCAATGGGTGAGGTTTGATGGGTGAGGATTGATGGGTGAGGTTTGGCAATGGGTGAGGTTTGACAATGGGTGGGGTTTGGCAATTGGTGAGTTTTGGCAATAGGTGAGGCTTGGAAAATGGTTGGGATTGGGCAATGGGTGGGATTGGGCTGTACTGGGATGTGGGAGAGGTTCGGCAATGTGAATACTGGTTCAACAAGTGGGAGGGTAGGGCATGGGCAATGGGCAGGCATGGGAAATGGGCAGGCATGGGCACGGGCATGGGCATGGGCATGGGCACAGACACACAGTAATTGCTATGCGAGTGAGTAAGTGGCTTTCACAGGCAACCATTCAGACACTTCAATGCTCTATGTTGCATGTCTGTAGATGCTATGCTACTGCACCATCACCTCTCCCCATCACAGTGTATCCATTTTACTACTGCAGGATTGCAGGCGCACTAAGTCACAGCAGTTCATGAACCTCATGAGGATCAAAATATCTTGAGCCCCTCGCATATGCCACATGGCCAGTCAGCAAAAGCACGCGGGCAATGCGAGCACAAGAAGAAAAAATCGCTCATAAGACGGCCAGACGAGCACCGAGCTTTCTGCTCTCTTGTCTTCCTGAGTCTCTTACTGCTGCTTGAAACTTCCTAATTGAATAGTTAAACGCAGAAATATGACAAATTCTGCAAATCGGCTAACACATGTTACTGGAAGCGCCAGAGGGGGTAGAACTCTAAGGCTGTTCAACAAGGAACATTTTACAACAGTCTCATTCTTTGATGCATTTTCTAAATCATGTAATGGTAAACAGTGCTGCTACTACAGAAAATACATTCTACATCGCGAGCCAGCCAATACCCGACTTTCGCGCTGACTGAGGCGTTGAATATTGTCGTTGATTTTCAACTTTGTCGGCAACCTTGTGTGCACCAGTCTCTGGTTGTTCCGAACCCACAACTTCTGGTGCTCCCAAACGAAAATCCAAACCTGGAACCAGTTGTGAGAGCTTTGACTCGCGTCACCTCTGTTCCACCTAGCTTCCCCTCACTTATATATAGCCATTGCCTAGAATCTCATTTCACTCACCCACCAACACCTTCCACTAAATCCTCGACTTCTTTCACCCAACATAGAGCTTTGAAAGCATCTCGTCAATCGCAGCTAGTAACAGCGGGAAGCAAACTCTTTTCTTTCCACTTCGTCAATCTCAGCACGGAAGTAGTAGCCATGGCCGCATTCAGAGCGTTAGTCCTCGCGTGCGTGCTTCTCCTCGTGTCGACGTCCGCCTTGGCGCAGCGTGGTCCGCCTGGCGGAGGATCTCCCAGTGGTCAGCGCGGAGGCCCTGGCGCCGGTCCCGGTGGTCCTGGCGGTCGCGACGGTCCCGGCTGGCCTGCCGGGAAACCGCCGCATGGCCCTCCGTTGAACCTGACGGCCGTCGGGAATTTGACGGCAGATGTTGGCTCGCGGCTCGCCAACTGCACCGTGGATCAGAAGACCCTCAACGGCAGCTTCCACCTCGCCGTCTTCAAGTAGGCTTCGCTGCTTCCCTTCTCTCGCCTAGCATTGCGAGAAAACGATAGTCCGTTTTGCAATCGGTTTCCAATCGCTACCAGGGCTTAGTTCTTAGGATTGATTCCGCACGAATCACTCGGCATCTTCTGATCGTCACGCTCATTGCGTTTTCCCCTCTTCCCCCCTGCCCCGTCCCCCTCCCCTCTTTCCTTGCCTTCTCGCAGGAACTCTACAGGAAACTACAACCTGCTGGTCGAGGCGGTTCTGGTGGACGCGGCGGGCGGCCCGCCCGACTCGCTGGCGATCGTGAAGGGCGCCGTGTGCGACTCCGCCGCGACGGACGTGCTCGCGCTGCCGCTCGCCGCGGCAGACTGGCAGCAGCGCGCGGGGTGGTGGCTGCTGCACGCGGAGGCGCGCCTCGACGCGTTCCTCGAGAACGCGGACGCCGCCACCCTCGACGCGCTGCTCGCCGTGCTCCCCACCGCCTCGCCTCCGCCCACCAGCGGCGGCGGGCGCAACGGCGGAGGCAGCGCCGGCGGAGGCAGCGCGGGGGGTGCGCGGAACGGGCAGGGCGGGAGACGCATGGGGCGGGAGCTGCTGATGAGCGCATTCGGCCGCGCTGCCAGGCAGGGAGGGCAGAAGCAGGGGGGGCAGAAGCAGGGTGGAGCGCAGCAGGCGCCTGCAGTGAGCGGGTATGCTGTGCTGGCGGGCAGCAGCGCAGCAGGTGTGACGTGGGGCGGGCAGCTCATGGGCGCCAAGATGCCCGCCGCTGCTGCTTGATGCTCCGCTGCCGTGTCGCTGCTGCTGCTGCCGTTGGTCCTGCTTGAACTCATCCTGATGCATGCTGAGATTCCTGCTGCTTGAGGGATCACTGCCTTGAGGACGACTGTGGCATCAGCTTGGGACTTCCATGATGAACAATCACCTGCAGGGTGTGATGGGTTACAGGGCTTTATCTGTGTGTGTCTGGACTGGATAGCTTTGCTTAGTCTCCTGGGAAGCAGCTAAAATAGGTGAAAGCATCAGGGGCAGGAATGCTGGCAAGGCATTAGGGGACACCAACTGACTTGCCAGTCTTCCTACCCCTGATTGTTCCTGTGATGTTATTTGTTGTTATTTGTGTCATTTGTGTGGCTGTGGGTAATTTTTAGTCAGTGTTTGTGCTCTCTTTCTTTTTTTGTCAGACATGTGTCGGGATAGAAATATCTTCACCTGAGAGTAACAGATCTCTCAAAACATGTTCTTAATCTGAAATATGAATAACAAGATAAACATGTTCTCTCTTTCTTTTTTTGTCAGACATGTGTCGGGATAGAAATATCTTCACCTGAGAGTAATAGATCTCTCAAAACATGTTGTTACCGTATGGCCCCGGATATAGGCGCCGTCCAATTAAAGGCGCCGGCGCCATATCTGGAGCATGGCGCTTATGGCCGTTCCTCGATTATAAGCGCCCCCCCTGTAAAACCCTGATTTATTATAAGAGCATGTATAATTTTATTCTTTCAATCCTGATTAAAACAGTAACGAATTTCGATTCAAGTGAGTCAGCACCCATTTTCACTTTGTTTGACTTTCGAGGTCCTGACTGGTTTCGCGTCCAGTCAGGATGAGGTGGCACGCGGGCAAATTGACGTGCGAAAAGCTATGTGCAGCGTCAGAGATTCGCCCTCACGCGATTCAAATTTAAGACGCTATTGAATGTCGACTCGATTGAACCTACGAGACAGAAATGTACATTTTAATGCATTAAAGTTGTATTTATGTATTTGTCATTATATAAGCGCCGGCGCTCATGGCCGATACTCAATTAAAAGCGCCCCCACAAAAAAAAACCGATTTTATTATAAGCGCATATTCGCTACTATCCTGGGTAATACGGTACTCTGAAATATGAATAACAAGATAAACACGGATGTCTCCCCACACCCCCTCCCTCGTCTCACTTGCCCGGGCGGTCACGACATAGTAGTGCTTCCGTATTTAGCAGCAAACCGCTCTAAGCACGCTCATGCAGTCCTATTATAAGCGTAATTAGGTCTCCAAATAGCGATTAAAGGCAATTATAAGCTTGTAAGTTCCACCAGACTTGTTGTCAAAGTTTGAAGAAAGAAAAAGGATTGAACTAGCAAGAATGAGGATACAAATAGCAAACCCTAGAAGGGTTGTACTCGCTATAGAGCACCCCACTACAGGCTAGAACAATAAGATAATATTCTGACACTTGTCGCCGCCTGAACCAGGCCGCCACCCTCCTGTTCGTGTACCCGATCAGTTTGTAGCGGGAAACCTAGAGTCGAGTAGGTGACGCCTCGGATTGCGCCAGTGCGATTCAAACGGGGAGATCGAATGGAGCGGATGGCGGAAGCGGAAGCGAATGAGGAGGGGGAGCGGTTATTGGCGGAGAGATGGCGGGCGGCGGAGGGTGCCGCGGGGAAGGCTGGCGGAGGACCTCGGTATCGCGGATGCGCATCAGTGGAATGACGAGCAGAGAGACAGTCGGCCTTTAGGAAAACGTAGCTTATAACGGGACGGGCAATAACGAGTACGGGGACGGGCAGGACATTGTTGTCAGAATATTATCTTATTGTTCTAGCCTGTAGTGGGGTGCTCTATAGCGAGTACAACCCTTCTAGGGTTTGCTATTTGTATCCTCATTCTTGCTAGTTCAATCCTCTTTCTTCCTTCTAATTTTAAGTTGCTATCAGAGCAGGTCGATCCCCTTGGATCGATCCTGTGGGTGGGTTACCACCTCGCTTCCGCTGCTACTTTTTCCTCCCGCCGTGCGCCCCGAGGCGCGCGGCGGTTTTCTGCCCGCCGTGCGCCCCGAGGCGCGCGGCGGTTCATTGCCCGCTGTGCGCCCCGAGGCGCGCGGCGGGCTTCTCCCCTACGTCGCGGCCCCGGCCCGATCGTCGCGGCCCCGCCCCTTGACGCGGCCCCGCTCTACGTCGCGGCCCCGCCCCGGCTCGTCGCCGCCCGTGCGCCTGCCCGGCTCGGCCCCGCCCTACCTTCGCGGCCCCGCCCAACGTTGCGGCCCCGCCCTATGTCGCGGCCCCGCCCTACGTCGCGGCCCCGCCCTATGTCGCGGCCCCGCCCCGACCGTCGCGGCCCCGCCCCTCGTCGCGGCCCCGGCCCCGTCCCCGCCCCCCCCTTTTCTCCCCTCCCCCCCAATTCCCGTCGTCCGTCGAGGCGACCTGAGGGGCGCGCTGTGGGGTGGCAGGTATGGGGGTGGCCAGTGTACTTTCCTCCCTTTGCTCCTCCTCCTCCTTTGTCTCCCACTGCTGCAGCTGTCGCTGAGGGGGGTGGTTGTGTGGGAGACTGGGTTTAGGGTTTTAGGGGGGTGCGTGGGAGTAGAGCTAGTGGTGTAGCAGTGGGTGTGTATCAGGGGGGTGGGACTGTGTGCGGGAGGATGAGCGGAGGTTGCCAGTTTGTCGTCAGCAGCACCTGTAGTCCGGGGCGCTGTCCCGGTAGCCCAGTCGTAGCCAGCTATGCCAGCCGCCCGTGGGTCCGTTGCCCGTCCGCCGCTATTTGAGCCGCGGGGCCTGTTACTCCTGTAGTCCGGGCGCTGTCCGGTAGCCGCTGTGCCAGTCTGCCTCCTGTTGCCCGTGTGTCTGCAGCTTCAGCCGTCGCCTCCTGTCTCCTCTCCCCTCACTCTCCCTCCTCCTCCTCACTTGCCCGTTGTGACTACCACTAGCTTTGCTTATAATTGTGAACTCTAAACTATTTCTTCTTGAACTTGTGCTCAGAATGTGTGGTGACATTGTGATCCACCCTGAGCTTGTTTTGCTTTGCCTGCTCTGCTGATTACACCCCACTTTGGCTATGGGGGTGTGTCAGAATATTATCTTATTGTTCTAGCCTGTAGTGGGGTGCTCTATAGCGAGTACAACCCTTCTAGGGTTTGCTATTTGTATCCTCATTCTTGCTAGTTCAATCCTCTTTCTTTCTTCTAATTTTGACAATTGTAACGCGGGGAAGAAGCATTTTGGTGATAAGGGAGGGGACATGGCCAGCTGCAGTTGCAGCTGCAGAAGCATTACTGCCGTGGGCGTGCATCCCGATGTTGGTGCTCTTTTGCATCCACTGCTCCTCCAGCTCAACCCTCCACCTGCCCCTATCTCCTCCCTGCCCCTATCCCCTCCCTGCCCCTATCCCCTGCTTTTTCTCCTCACCTGACACTTTTTCTTGTCCTTTCCTCATGTCGCTTCCCCCTTTCCCTCCCCTTACCCCCCCTACCTTTCGCCCGTTCTCTTTTGCCCCTACCTTTTGCCCCTTCCCTCTACCCCTCCCACTCTGCCTCGCCCTGCTGTCCCTCCCACATGCCACTTCTCATTTCCCCGTCCCCCTGTCCCCCCCTTACCCACCGTTCGCCCCTTCCCATTGCACCTTCCCTTTGCCCATTTCCCCTTCCCCCGCCTCCCAGTGCCTCAACATGCGCCCCTCCCCCTGCTCCTTCCCCCTGCCCCTCCCTTGCTTCTTCCCCTGACCCTTACCCCGTTGCCCCGTACCCCTGCCCCTCAACCTGCGCCCCTGCGCTTTACTCCTCCCCCCTGGTACCTCGTGTGCTGCCTCTGAGCCCTCTATCCACGTTAGGAGCGTCCAACTTTACAGGTCGACTTCCTCCATCCATATGCGCAACTCGTTACCACGCCATTCTTCGTGTCACGCTAACGTGGGGAGGTGAGAGCAGCGGGAGAGGGGGGGGGGCAGGGGGGTGAAGTGGGGAGGGGGAGAGGGGGAGGGGGGAATTGCTTCCCACTAGGGCAGAGCACCCGTGTAAAGTTCGGGAAAGGTGGGGGTTGTGGGGGAAGAGTTGCCTGCTGCCCGGAGCAACTCAATTCGGGCTATGCTCATATCTAGAGCACAGCACCAGCATAAAGGATAGGAAAAGTGACGCACTGGATGACAAGTAAGAAGATATCACGCATATCATGGCAGTGTGCATGCATCACGTAGATATCAACATTTTTTCACTTCCCAACTCTGCGTTTCATGCATGAGTTGATTTGGCTGGTCCAAGTGGTTTTTCACCTGGCGTAATGGATTCCTTCTTCAGTAGCCGCTCCATTGAACCCTATTTATCTCATTTTTCATCTCAACCTTGTTGAAACCTTCCTACTGTTACTAGCGCACAGCACTTGTGTCACTGTAAGAGGAGGAGGGCAGTGGCGAGTTGCTTGCTACTAGGGCACAACACCAGTGTAACGGTGAGAGAAAGATGATTCAGCAAGTGACTTGTGGAAAGAAAGCGGAATCAGCTGCTACTGAGCTGAATTCAAAGCAAAAGGAATTTCCGTCTCTCATTGTTTTGAGCATGCCTCACTCTCTGTATATACACATATCGTTTCTTCCCTCATGTGCCCACTCCCTCACATATTGGATTTTGCTTGACTTATGTGTGGAAACAAAGAACGAGAATGGAATGACTATGAACGAAGTGAGTACAAATAGGAAACCCTAATTGGGTTGTACCCCCTATGGGATACCCCACTATAGCCTACAGAAACAAGTAAGCTATAAGTTCTGACACACCCCCATAGGCAAAGTGGGGGAGAACAAGGGGTCACAAGACCAGTCAAGCAAAGCAAAGCAAAGCTCAGGGTGGATCACAAAGTCACCACGCATTCCGAGCACAAGTTCAAAGGCCACAAGGCCAGTTCACATGCAAGATCATATATAGAGATATACAAGAACAAGAGTATATATATGCGAAAGTACAAGCAAGGTCAAGAGGAGAGCAAGTGAGGCAAGACAGGCACAAGACCCAACTGCGTGCAGCA